AGCTTTCATAGTGGTTTGCTGCATGAAGTCACGTTTAACAACAGGAGTCACTTCAATTAATTTGATTCACAGTTGTTGGCTGCCAGTATGCAATTCATGTGTTTATGGCCTGTTGTATGCGCTTCAACGTGTGGGACTGCATGAAATTACACTTTTTATACAACAGAATCAGTTTCAAATACATAGAATTATTAGTGTTGTTGGTGCCAGGTATGCAATTCTGAGGTTTCTGGCCTGTTTTTATGCGGTCTAAAGTGGTTTGCGCATGAAATTCACGTTTACATCCAGAATCACTTCATACTTCATAGAATCACTGTTGTTGGCCTGGCTGCACAGTATGCAATTCATTGATGTTTATGGCCTGTTTTAAGCGTTTCAAGTGGTTGGCTGCATGGTAATTCTCTTTTATCAAACTGAATCGAGATCAATTACATAGAATCACAGTTGTGGATGCCAGTTGGCAATTCATGATGTTTCTGGCCTGTTTTAGAGCGTTTCAAGGTGGTTGGCTGCATGAATTCACGTTTACAAGAATCACTTCAAATACAGTAGAATCACCGTTGTTGGCTTGCCAGTATGCAAGTCATGAGGTGTCTGGCCTGTTTTTAAGCGTTCTCAAGTGCGTTTGATTGCATGTAATTCACTTTTTCAACAGAATCAGATCAAATACATGAATCACTGGTTGTGGATGCTCCAGATGCATTATTGTCGTTTCTGGACCAGTTTTACGAGTTTAATTGGTTGGCTGCATGAAATTTCTCGTTTTCAAACAGAATCTCTTTCATGTTATCATTGGAATCACAGTTGTTGGCTGCCTGTATGCTTTCATGATGTTTCATGGCCTGTTTTTTAGCGTTTCTAGGTGGTTTTGCTGCATGTAATTCCACTGTTTACAACAGAATCAGGTTCAAATACATAGATTCACTGTTGTTGGCTGGCCAGTATGCAATTCATGATGTTTCTGGGCCTGGTTGTTTATGCGTTTCAAGTGGTTTGCTGCAAGAAATCACGTTTACATACAGATATAGAATCAGTTCAAATACTAGATTCATCAGTTGTTGGGCTGCCAGTAATGAAATTCATGATGTTTCTGGCCGTGTTTTAAGCGTTTCAAGTGGTTTGCTGCATGATATTGCACTTTCTTACAACAGGAATCAAGTTCACACTACTTTGAATCACAGTTGTTGGCTGCAGTAGCACATTCATGTTGTTTCTGGCCTGTTTTATGAGTTCAAGTAGTGTGCTGCATGATATTAAAGCAGCAAGTAAGCGATTTTTGGGTGTTAATATACTGTCTTAAATATTGATATATTCCAATAGCCATTTGTATTAGTATTGATTGACTGCGGAACCTTCCGCAGTCAACCATTGGTTTTGTATTTCTTTATTCCGTCATTTTTTTTGACACGTTTCACAGCTTTCACATTTTCAACAATTTCCACAAGTTATACATCAAAACGTTCCACATGTTTGGGAGATTATTGCTATTACTTTTGGGACTTCAGCGATTTCCGGTTTTTCCGCAATCGGACAAAAATCTGCATGAGAATTCTGCAATGCATTTTAATAGGCCCATGCATTTTAATAGGACTTCAGCTCTTTCAGACATTTCTACAGTTTCAATGATTCAACAGTTTCAAGGATTCAACAGTTTCAAGGATTTCAGCAGTTTCAAGATTTCAAGAGTTTCAAGGACTTCAACAGTTTCAAGGACTTCAGCAGTTTCAAGGACTTCAGCAGTTTCAAGGACTTCAGCAGTTTCAAGGACTTCAGTGTAATCATGCAACCTAATAGGGATTTTTCCATGTAAACCAGTATAATGCAACTTAATAGGGATTTTTCCATGTAAACCAGTATAATGCAACTTAATAGGGTTTTTTCATGTAAACCAGTATAATGCAACTTAATAGGGTTTTTTTCATGTAAACCAGTATAATGCAACTTATATGGGGATTTTTCCATGTAAACCAGTATAATGCAACTTAATAGGGGTTTTTACATGTAAACCAGTATAATGCAACTTAATAGGGTTTTTTCCATGTAAACCAGTATAATGCAACTTAATAGGGTTTTTTCCATGTAAACCAGTATAATGCAACTTAATAGGGATTTTTTCCATGTAAACCAGTATAATGCAACTTAATAGGGATTTTTCCATGTAAACCAGTATAATGCAACTTAATAGGGTTTTTTCCATGTAAACCAGTATAATGCAACTTAATAGGGATTTTTCCATGTAAACCAGTATAATGCAACTTAATAGGGATTTTTCCATGTAAACCAGTATAATGCAACTTAATGGGGATTTTTTTCCATGTAAACCAGTATAATGCTACTTAATGGGGATTTTTCCATGTAAACCAGTATTATGCAACTTAATGGGGGATTTTTCCATGCAACTTAATAGGGATTTTTCATGTAAACCAGTAAATGCCTTAATGTTTTTTCCATAATAATGCAACTTAATAGGGATTTTTCCATGTAATAACCAGTATAATGCAACTTAATAGGGATTTTTCCAAACCAGTAAATAGGGATTTTTCCATGTATTAATAGGGTTTTTACAAAACTGCAGTATAATGCAACCTTAATATGGGGTTTTTACATGTAACCAGTATATGCAATGTGAATAGGGTTTTTTACATGTTAACCAGTATAAATTGCTACTATTAAGGGGGTTTGTACAGTTACCCAGTATAATGGAATATTAATAGGGGTTTTTTTACATGAAACCTGTATAAAGGATAACAGTATAATCGGTTATCAGGAGCTTCAAATACTTCAGGAGTTTCTAAGTTGTTTTACGGTATGTTAACAGTTTCAAGGAGTTCAGGATTTTTCAGCTAAATTCCTCTTTTGATCTGTTCCGCAAGTCATCGCAAGGGCTTCAGCCATTGCAACGGTTTCTAGTTGATACATATTGGTTGCCCTGAGGACTGTAATGCGGTCGTTTTCACCAAGTTAGCTAGTTAAAAATCCCCTAGGATGTTGTAGAAATACGGCCGCTTTCATTTTCTGTGGGCAATACACTGCGCATTACTCGGGTTAGCTTTTGAGAAAAAACTAACAGACTACAAAACATCGAGAGCCTTTGCCCAGCTCAGCCATGCCATAAAACTCCGTGGTCAATTATTAGTTCCCTCATGTACATAATTTAAATGACATATCACCAGGAGTTCCCGTGATAAGTGGTGTTTGCATTTGCGTTTGCTGTTTGCATTAGCGTTCGCTGTTAGCTTAGCGTTTGCTGTTAGCATTAGCAGGGCTGTTAGCATTAGCTGTCTGTAGTTGTGGAATATGAATTGTGGCTGCTACAATCATTCCTGATCTGTAGATTCGTTGGTTTTTGCCTATAAACTTAGTTGCTTGTACTATATTTGTTATATATTATGTAGGTCTGCATTTCATTCTTCAATGGACCTAAGTTTTGCAAACTTGCACTCTGGTTTTAGTTGTTATTGTTATTTATAAAACAATATATCTTTACCCTCAAATCTAACATCCGTGACCATAACATACATTTTTATTATGTATGAGAATAGTAAGAAACAGTCTTTGTGACTACTACCAAATAAATTATGAGCTTGATATAATTTAGACATTGTAATAATTTACATGTTTTCTTTGCATTCTTTTTCTGTATCTTTTCAGTTGGCCTAAATAATTGGAATGAGGTCTTCAAATGTACAAGAGTTCAAACAGCCTCCATAATGCATTTTAACATAAATATTTAAAAAAACAAAAAATGCCATAACGACTAGATACCTTTTCTGCTGACCTCTTCTTTCTCTAGGTATGAGGGAAGGACAAGACTTTGCTTCTGGGAATTAGTAAGATTGGCCATTGCAATCTCCTGAGGAAGACTTTAAACCCCACATTTGGCATGTGGTTGTTGTAATGATACAGTATTGGGAACGCATGTGATTATGATAATGATGTTGTGATGTGGTGTCGTTAATCCCTACAGTTGTGTTGCTGCCATGTGGATCCAATATGAATATCGACTCATGTTCCAGGATGTCAGTGTTGAACAAACTGTCGCTGAGTTTCTTCAACAATCAATGAGGATTGGCTCGCATCAGTGAGATACAGTAATCAATCGACTCCCAAAAACTAGCCGATGTAAGTTGTCTTTCTCTCACAAATGACAGTCTCTCACAGGTCCATATTACATGTTCAAGGATCCTGTGGATCAGGGGACACACCTGGGTGACTAAAATTACTGATGGTGTTGATGTATGAATATATCAAAGTCATATTTGAAGTAGATAAAACTGATGTCTTCTTCTATTATGTTTCAAAGGGAAATCTCTGCCAGAGGAAGACTTCAGTTCCTTCAACTGGGCCCCTGAAGCTGTGACTTCTGTGTTGTTGCGTGTGCCTTCTGGGGTTGTAGTGCGTGTGCACTGGTGTTGCAGTGTGGCTGTGTGTGGCTGTGTGTGTGCTTGTGACTGTGTGTGCTTGAGACTGGGGGTGGCTGTGTGTGCTTTGTGGCTGAGTGTGCTTTGTGACTGTGTGTGCTTGTGACGGTGTGTGCTTGTGGCCTGTGTGTGGACTGGTCGTGTGTTGGGACTAGAGTGTGCTTGTGACTGTGTGTGCTTGTGACTGTGTGTGGCTGTGTGTGCTTGTGACTGTGTGTGACTGTGTGTGGCTGTGATGTGTGTGCTTGTGGGCTGTGTTGTGCGTGGATGCTTATGAATTATTTGAGGATATGTGTTCAAACAAGCTTACCCAACATAAAGATTATCATTTTGTTAGATATCTCTGATAGTGTTCGCTGCTGAGCGTTGGATAAGGACCTGGATAATTTCAGTGTTATTCATTTGAGCAAAAAGTGGATAACATCAACGTTGCCTTACCATCCACTTGTATTTATTCGTCTTAGTAGGGTATTCGTGGTTATTTTTTGGCTGATAACTTAAATCTTCTTTTACTTAATAAAGTGTCTTAGACTCGTTTCAGGAACTGTATTTGTTTTTTTTTCCTACTATAAAACAAGCATGAACGATGGTGAATGTATTTTTTATTTTCATTGGAAATAGTACAATACAATACATATTTCAGAACTCATGAGGTCCGTGCACCATGGGGGGCCACTGAGGACGTGCACCATGGGGCGACTGAGGATAGCACGTTTTCAAGTCTGTTGGCCCTTTTCACAGACGAATCAGGAAAGGATCTGGTCATCAGCTTCTTGGGACAGGGGGGAAGAGGGCGTTCAGGGCTTCCTGAAAGAACCGTTATGAATCAACATGACTTTATTATTCTGGTTACATGTAGCTTTTCTTTCAATTAGTGGTGAGTTTCCTTACTGTTGTAATTGTGTATACGTAATTGTTATGACTGTATTTTGGTTTCAGGTACAACGCTTTATGGAATTTGTTTTACAGTCCCACATCTCACTGTTACAGCTTGATTATACATCTTTGATTTTTGTCTTCATTCTCTGAACAATAAGAACACATTATACAGATTGGTGATTACATCAATAAATGTATCTTTCTATTTTGTGACATTGAGAAGGCAGCTTACCAGTGAGTTGCAGGCTTGACTTTCACAAAATACATTAACTACAGTGTTGTCTATAAAAGAACTCACAAATATACATTTGTGAGGAGGAAAGCAGTAATTGTATTACTTTTATATAACACTTCATGTGTAAAGCTTTTTTGTTGTAATGTATATGCATTACATTCATCTTATACTTATGCACGTAACAGATGTTACAGTTGCATAATGTTGAGGACTACGTCACACGGCAATCTGCAAAACATTATGTTTATCACAACAGTTATCAGTGTAACAAACTATAAATGGCCAGTATTATTCTATAAAAGACTGGATTGTTTTTTATCCTTTTTAGTGATGCACCTACTAACCCCACGCTGCTTCGTGTTTATAGCTAGGTTACATTGAGCTATTCTATGCTAATATTTCATCCCAAGAGTTTGTGTGTTAATTACTTACGAGTATTAGACCTGACGGAGATGAACTTGCTGCTGCCATCACCAACAGTTGCGCGTTCATGTGTGTGTGACGAGGGGGGACGGGGGGCGGGGCTACTAACTCGCTCAGGCAGAGACGAATATGCCTCGGAAACGTCAAATCTGCTTACTGCTGCTGTAACTTTTACAACATAATCCAGTTCAAATACATAGAATCACAGTTGTTGGCTGCCAGGATGCCATTGAACTGATGGTTCTGCATGTTTTTTAAGGTTTTCAAGTGGTTTGCTGCATGAAATTCACTTTTACATCAAAATCAGTTCACATAATACATAGAATCCTCCCACCGTCACATAACTACATAGAAGATACCACGATGGGGCGTCTTGCTTCAGTGGGAGCAGGTGGTTGTGGGGGACACAACCCCACAATCATTAGGTCCAAAGACCAAAGCTCTGCCAATTGAGTCACTGTTGCCCCTAATAATTCCCCAGATACCCCTAAAAAGCACAGATTTGTGGTATTTTTTAACCGTGAGCCATGACTTCTGACTCCTGAGCCGCGACTCACAGCTCCTGAGCCGCGACTCACAGCTCCTGAGCCGCAGCTCACAGCTCCTGAGCCGCGACTCACAGCTCCTGAGCCGCGACTCACAGCTCCTGAGCCGCGACTCAAAGCTCCTGGGCCGCGACTCACAGCTCCTGAGCCGCGACTCACAGCTCCTGAGCCGCGACTCAAAGCTCCTGGGCCGCGGCTCAGCCGCAACTCACAGCTCCTGAGCCGCGACTCACAGCTCCTGGGCCGCGACTCAAAGCTCCTGGGCCGACTCACAGCTCCTGAGCCGTGACTCAGGAGCTGTGAGTCAGTGGTGAATAGTACATAGAGATCTATACAAACAAATACCAGCTGATGAAGAGTGTGTAACATACTGATTACATGTAAACTATAACTCCAGATCTATATTGTCTCAATAGAAATTCCCAGAAACCCCTAAAAAGCAAAGATTTGTGGTATTTTTAACTGTGAGCCGCGACTCACAGCTCCTGAGTCAGTGGTAAACGAACATGGAGAGCTATATAAACACATACCAGATGATGAAGAGTGTGTAACATACTGGTTAGTGTTACTTGTAAATATATGCCTCCAGATCCACAATGTGTCATCAATAATCCACAGATACCCCTAAAAAGCTAATTTGATAACCGTGAGCCACGACCCCTGACTGCTGAGCGTGAGTCGCGACTCACAGCTCCTGAGCCGCGACTCAGAGCTCCTGAGTCACGCGAGTCACCGGAAGTTGCCGTGAGTCGCAAATCGTGCTTGCCCTCTCTCAAGCCAGGAGGAGATCTGATTTATTTATGCAGCACAAGCCCAAATGTAAAAAACTTTTTCAGAAGTGATTTATTTTGTGCCTATATTATGTGTGATATCTTTTGAATGCAAAGTCTGTTGTAGTTGTATATAAATGTAGATACGAAAATAAGCTTTAAAATGATATACAGCTTTTGGGGTTCGAAATGCATCTGCTATACATAGTTCCCACAGACCAATGAATGTCACATGACCTCCTCGGAGACGCCATCTTTGATGGCACGCTGCTGTGTTTGTGCATTCCATTACACAGAAGAATGAGAATAAATGTAGATATTCAAACGCAAATTGGAAAAAAAGCGCAACTTTTGAGCAAATAATTGTATATTAATACAATGGCACCACAGTTTAACGTGCTACGGACATGTTTAACATATTTGATCAAATTATGCAGCAAAAATTAACAAGCAATGCAAACATTTCTCAAAAACTTTAGATTTAATACCAGTTGGAGCTCCATTTAATTATTTTAATTATATTAACAATTAATTTAATTAATGCTAATGCCACACGGACACTCTGGATTGCTGTTATTGTTTATTTCTGCGTTTTTGACCGTATGTTTTGGTGAATGGTGGGCAACTGATTTTTCCAGGCGTAAAGAGCAGTTTATTTTATGACACAGATCTTTTTACAGAAGCAATGCTGTTTGTGAACATTGTTTTAGCCCACCATAGAACTATTATTATCTATTTAATACATTTACGTTGCCCTCGAGAGCCTCGGACGCGACACCGATCCTCTTCATAATAAAGTAATCTAAATAATGAAACTCTCAAGTTACCAGATATCAGCATACACAAGTTAGTACTGAGTAAATTACGTCTGTCAACACATTATAAGATACGATACGCACCTGACACAAAGTGCTCCGAGCATATTCTTGCGTGTTTTGAGGGAGTTTCTTGCCTGTTTATCTTTGCAAGCCATAACCTCCGTGGTTGTTCTGACAAAAGCTTAGTCTTCTCACATTCATGAAGTCTAATGATGGGTATACTGTAAAATCCAAGTTTAACGGAACCTCCGGCACGATTTGAACATCCATTGACCCAGCAGGAGATGACCATTTTCAACTTTATCACGACATTAACACGTTTCAGCTTCTTTTTCTATTGTTTTGCCCACAGAATGCCAAGACAAATGGCGCCGGGTCGGCAAAACCCCGTATGTAGTGACGTCATGTAGGAACTATGTATTGCCAGCAGAACATTTTAAAACTAAAAATTGCCCCCCGGCGGGCGGGTGGGGATTCAACATTTTCTGTTTCGCAAATATTATATATTTCGTGATAATTTGTTAACTCATTGACTGCCATTGACGTATTTGTCTGAGACCCTCAATTCCACTGGGGATTACAGGAAAATACAAATAGCTAAAAACAAACTTATTTTTGCTGATCAAAATAAACAATCCAGTCTTTCAGAATCTGATTTCACATTCACACAGTCATGATGTCAAACCATAATTTCACTTCATGCAATTATATCTCCACCATTTGTCCAGGGGTCACAAAATGATATTCAAAAAAAAAGTACAAACAAATACATAGATGGATTTTTTAGCATTTAAATGGGCCATTTGGGAACGGTTCAAAGAGTACCTTTATTATGCTCTATCATTTGTCTTTTACATCGATAATAATCCTCTACCTTTGTACTGTCATCTGCTAACCTCTTAACACCCGCCTCATTTTGTCTTGTGCACAAAAGTTGGGCATACCCAAATGTCTTTGCTTATTTAAATCACATCTTACATCTCACATGCTTGTGTGATGCATCATATTAAAGCTAGAGCCTTCTAGTTTATGTAAATAAACACTAAAATAATGTTTGTCATTCCTATTTCACTCTCCTCCATCCTTTGAAGTTTGGGGGGAAAAACAATTTTTTTTAGCCTTGCCTAAAATTTTCAATTTCTAAAGGCCCTACAAAAGGCATCAGAATCAGATCAGAATAATTTGTATTGCCACGTAAGTAACAGGATGTCACAGACTTGGAAATTGCTTTGGCTCAGTGAAACAGTCAGAGAGAGATAATAAAAAATAAAGAATAAAAAACACTTCTAAGGAATACATTTAAATTTAAAATAGAGTTACAGTTACTATTTACAATATACAAGTGCACATGGTGCACACAATGTAAGGTGACAGCAGTACAGTGAAGTAAAGTGACGTATGATGGGCAGTAAAGTGACTTTATAAAGGGCGGGGGGACAGGTTAAGAAGTGTTCAAGAGTCCAACAGCAGAGGGGAAGAAACTGTTCTTGTGGCGGGAGGTTCTAGTCCTGATGGACCGCAGTCTCCTGCCTGAGGGGAGTGGTTGGAATAGTCCATGTGCAGGGTAAGAGGGGTCGGCTGTGATACGACCAGCCCGGCCTCGAGCTCGGGCGACGTATAGATCCTGCAGCGATGGAATGCTGCGGCCGATCACTTCCTCTGCAGAGCGCACGATGCGCTGTAGTCTCTGTTTGTCCCTGACTGTGGCTCCAGCGAACCACACGGTGATGGAGGAGGTGAGGATGGACTCGATGATGGCCGTGTAGAACTGCACCAACATCTGTGCGGGCAGCTTGGCTTTCCTGAGCTGCCGCAGGAAGTACATCCTCTGCTGGGCCTTCTTGATGAGGGAGCTGATGGTCGGCTCCCACTTGAGGTCCTGGGTGATGGTGGTGCCCAGGAAACGGAAGGACTCCACAGAGGTGATGGGGGAGTCCATCACGGAGGGTGGGGGCGGGGGGACAGTGCTCTTCCTGAAGTCCACAATCATCTCCACTGTCTTCATTGTAAGCTCACAATACTCAATCCCTATGGTCATTGTGTTGTTGGCAACACCTGTCTTAAGTTTCAGACTTCTAATTTTTATAATTTTTTATGCAGTTTCTCTTTTTCATAAAGTTGTGCCATTCGGAACCAATTTGGCACACTTTGTGCCAAATTGCTTTACTGACATTTCATCATCATAAAAACCAATTTATTTTTATTTTTGGTACTTATAAGTTACTCGTCTGTGTGATTTTTTTAAAACATTTTTTCAAAGGACATTTTTTATGAGTGTAAATTCATATAATATATGCGCTGCTCCAGAGCGATCTCTCTCCCTGCCGTTACGCACGCTCCTATTGACACAAACCAAAACAGTACCCCCATGTCCCACCCATTGAAAGCTTTCCTTATTAGCTACACGGACATGTCAATCATTCGGCAAAAGAACACTTCCTTAGCCGTCTGGCTAACAACAAACACAAAGTGACAGTGCGCAAAAGGCAGTCGCTTGTATAATAGTTGAATAGTCTAATTTTTTAGCTAACGAGTTGGGGAACACGAGTATACCCTGTGTGTGGGTGATAAACAAAGCTGAAAGTCCTCTAACAGTGAAAGAACAGCCTCTTCGGAAGTGATTTATTTTGTGCCCATATTATGTGTTATATCTTTTGAATTCAAAGTCTGATATTGTTTACGCTTGTATATAAATGTAGATTAGAAAATAAGCTTTAAAATAACATACAGCTTTTGGGGTCTGGTGTTCAAAATGCATCTATTTCCAGCGGAACATTTCAAAAATGAAAGGTGTTTTCAGAGGTAAGAAGATACTATATGTTAGCATTGGCTAATTCTTATTCCGGGTCCACCCCAATCGGCCCGGGGTGGTATTGCAAGCATGTCTACGCACGTCATTTTGGCCACTTTTGAGCCGGGACCCGTCCCCACTGCCTACAACAAGGGGCAGCGGTGTTGCAAACAGGCCACGCCTCCTCTAACGTCTACAGCACAGGTAAACACAGCAGCATGGCAGCAGAAAGTGATACCTCCTTTGGCTGTAACTACATACACGGCAAAACAGCCCAAACGACGCAAAAGTGAGGAGGAGAAGAGGGAACTAAAACCTGGGTGAATATACCTAGCTTGGATCGTATCCTTGCTGGAGACCTGTGGGAGCGGGACCGCCTCGGACGTGAAACTAGCAATAATCTCTCAGTTATTGTACTGTATATTTTGTACCATTTTGTTCCATATTTTGTACCATTTCATCAGTGACTGTTGTACAGCTTACAATAAGTTGTGCCAATGCTAACCGCAAAAACGCATCTCCTGCACCAGACAAACCTGCGTGCTGCGAGGTACATGGAAATATTTGCACCGGCGTATACATCAGGGCTGGACTGGGACAAAAAAACGGCCCGGGCATTTTTTCCTTCTTACCGGCCCAGGCATGTTTTTGTCACTTTTTTACAGTTTGTTTATACCAGGGATCGGCAACTCAAAAGGTTCAAAGAGCCATATTTGACCAAAAAACTAAACATCTGTCTGGAGCCACAAAAAAATAACAGCCTTGTATAAAGCTTATATGATGGTTACACAATGTAGCTACATTGGCTACATTAGCCTAATATCTAAATGACCAAGTAAAGGCTACAAATACATAATAAGCATTCATGATTATCAAATATGTGTTTTCACTGCAGCGTGTCCTGGAGAGA